AGAAACCCCGGACAAAAACCTCACGAGTATGAGAGCACTTCACTAGATGCCTTGAAAAGACCGGTGACCTGCAAAATATGCAAAAACCATGGCACGACGGAAGCACGACGTCCCTAAGTGAACATTTGAGATGAAAACGTGGGGGCTGATGCAGCAGAGGAATGTCCGGTAAGTAACAGAAAATAAGCAAGCTAACACAGATCAAATTTGGGACTTAGTGTTAGCTGAGTTCGTTATAGTGGATGTTAAACATGTTTTTTTTTGCCACGTCAGTTTACGGTGTTCTACTTCTGATTGACTAGATGCAATCGTGAATCTCCGTGTTGTGTATCATGCGCTTGCCAAATTTAGCACGTCTGTTTATAAGAATGTTCTCGTTAAGAGAAAAATGGCACAAACACATAACTATGTTCCTCATTCAAAAAAGGACAACTCCGTGGAGAAAAATATACAGACGAGCTGTGTCCAGGTGAATATAACGCGGCATAGTTGTACGCTTTCAATTTTTAAATACAGGATAAATTCAGAAAGTCCTTTTTTTTACTATTAAAAGGCTGTTTTACCGTCTAACGCTGTAAAACGCCTCACAACACATTTTTGTCAAAATAAATGATCACTGTATATTGTTAATTAATTCAAATAATGTAATATTGATTTAGTGTTGTAGTGTGTGTGCTGCTTTATTTTATATGTGTACTTATTTCAGTCTATTTGTGTTTCTTATGCAGAAAAAAACAAGCAACGATGGACAACTACATGGGGAACAAGACACTCACCCCCAGCAATGCATACCACTTACAAACTCTATTCTAGATTCTACATTATTTTTATGGAATTTACCTCATATTTTGATGCCAAAAAATTATTCTGGACTGATATTTTGCACTGTTTAGCTCATTTTACACCACTGACTGTGTTCATCTGCAATAAAATAGATTGCAGTCAACTGCAAAATTCTCTTATGTTTTTCTTTTTCTTAACTGAAATGTATTCATCACTTGTATAGGTTAAATAGCTAAACAATAACAAACCGATTAATCGATTAATCGAAAAAATAATCGACAGATTAATCGATTATGAAAATAATCGTTAGTTGCAGCCCTAATACACATACAAACAAAGACTTACGAAAATGCACGCCAGACACCCACTCGTGCTCCCCATACACACCCTATTCACTCTGGTCCCAGTACTGCTGTACAAGGGTACATTCATCACCGGTTCCCAGAGTTCGATCCTTTCTGCTGGGGTGCTGATGAACAGGCTCCCCCGCCCAACACCGAGCAAATCGACCCACCACCCCAGACCCCAGCCAGACGGCCAGATCCCCCTCCTTGCCTCCAGCCCCGGGAAGCCAAGCGACAACAGAGGTGTGCTAAGACCCCTAGTCTCCCTCCGCCTGCTCCAATACAGTGTTGGTGCATGTTGATGAGGTGTATTCGTGGCTGTGATGAGCGGGCAGTGCAGTCATTGTCTGGCCTATGCCAGCTGATGCCACCACACCACCCCTTTCCCCCCAACAGCCCTCTGTGTCTAAGTGCAGTTTAAAATTGGAAGTGGGTACCGGCACTTGGATTGGAAGTGGGTACCGGCACTTGGGATGAGGCTGAAAGATCCCCTTGTCAAATGCCGTTGAATGTGCTCACTCCCAAGGCCAAGTGTGTGTTAGCATGGAATGTAGTTGGCGGAAGTGTTTAATGTGCAAATAAAATTGGGAGGCAGGCTGCCACAGGAATGCGGAAATTGGGTCCATACCCGCACCCCCTGACTTGTCCACCCCCCAAGGTTCTATGTGCATGTTTGTGTGATGATGTGAGGGAGCAGGAGGAGAAAAATGTGTGTGGGGATGGGGAGGAATGGCTGGTTGGCCTAAGCCCTCCAGGGAGCCAGCTCCCCCAACTTGCCCCAATAGGCACCTCCGTTGCCAAAATGCCACCCAGGGCATGGAGACCCCAGCCCATCTTGCCAGGGCCCAAAGAAGCTGCATCGCAGAGCTCCACAGAGTCTAAGGGAACCAACGCAGCCCCACTCCTGCAGAATATCTACTCCCATACCTGCATTTGCACAACTTCCAGAATATATAAGACGCAGGACATACAGGTAAGGTTGGGTCCTCCCCCTCCTGGACATCCCCCTCTCCCGTGATGGGACATCAGAGGAGCCAAGGTCTACCTGAGGCCCCTGAGCCTGGGCCAGGCACTGCTGCATGTTTCCGCCTTCTTCCCGGCAGCATACATGTCAGGACCCGACCCCCAAGGCCCCGCCCAGATCCCCACATGGGGAAGTCCCGCTTTCACGCCAAGAAGGGTACAGCTGCAAACCCGCAGATCGCAGAGCAGATTCACGCCTGCAGCAGTGAGTCTGCGGGTCTCTGGATCTGTAGCCATAGACTGTTCATCACATCTTCCTCGTTCTTCATAGGCCATGATGTGCCTGGGTGTAAACATCTGCTCCTTTAGATCCTGATCAGCTGATGACATCTTCAAAACACCGCGCTGCTAAACCAAAGTAACACGCACATTTTCTTATCAGTAACGGAAACTGCATTATGGCAAAAAAGTAATTAGTTAGATTACTGGTTACTGAAAAGAACAACTTCTTTTAGTAACAGCATTGTTTTAAATGCTGTTATTTCTGTCACTGCTTGCCGTGCCGCACCACGCCGCTAAGGACAGGATTGGGTTCCATTTTTGCCACAAGCTGCTTCTGGGACACGTCAACTTCCATAGTTAACAGAGCTAGACAGGAAGTCACACACGGTTTCAGTGTAAAACGTTTGGTAATTTTTTAAATAAAAGACTAGTACAGTGATGCAATTTCATATCTATGTAGATTACATCAATACATGTGACCTTATTTACTCCCAGCATCATTCCAGAAGGGCAGGGGTGGGTTTTTCGTGGCTTTAATCCTGGCAGTGGAGAGGAACAACTTTATTACATCAAACAGAGATATGCATTTATGCTATGAATATTATGTATGTTATGAAGAAAACCATGTTTGAACATGGTTTTCTTCTTTTTGGTTTAATTGCAGATGGCATAAACAAACTGTGACCTTTGAAGTCTCAAGGGATCTTGTGAGCTCACGATTCTAGTGAGGAGCGCGGCAGAGAAGCTGCTTTGCGCCAGTGTGCACTGGCACGCAGCAAAGCTTACAAGTAAATTGTTCTGCTGCTACTCCGACAACAAAAATAATGGCACTCATTTAAGGAGTTTGATTTGAACAAGTCATCTTCTTTTTGAAGAGCTTTCATGGATCATCAGGGCTCCACTTGTATCATGTCCTTGTCTCACTAAATCTGAGCTTGCTTTACCCATTTAGGTGTGTGTGTGTGTGTGTGTGTGTGTGTGTGTGTGTGTGTGTGTGTGTGTGTGTGTGTGTGTGTGTGTGTGTGTGTGTGTGTGTGTGTGTGTGTGTGTGTGTGTGTGTGTGTGTGTGTGTGTGATGAGGAACTCCCAACCAGTCAGTCTAATTCAGATCCCAGAGAACATCTGGGGTCATCATCTGCTGGTGTCTCATACCTGACCTATTCTCCTTACTGCCTCCGGTAGTTTTAGTAACTTATGGTGTGGTGAGTTTTAAAGTAGCTTACCTGCTTGGAAGGATTGTAATGTCTGATCCTGAATAAGTCAATTTGTAACCTGAAATGGAGAAAAGTCAACAAATCTCCTTAAGTCTGAAAAATGTGAGTTAAAAAAATACAGAGAGAGAAAAAGGAGAGTATGTTCTACCTTATCATTTAGGCTTAGAGTGACATCTCTTTTTCTTAGAGATCCTCCTTTCTTCTGTCTGTGAATACGGGAAAAGTTGTGACCATAATTTCAATTTAAAACACATGAGGGGAAATCCTAGCCCGTGCTGCTCTTTAATGGGCCGTCATGGGATTGGGGTATGCAGAGAATGATTGAATTTTGTGAGAAGGCCAGGAACGATCAGGTCTCGCCTGCTGTTATGCAATCGACCATTCCCCACTCCCAACGCAACGTCTGGTAAAACCTGGTACAGTTAAAGGAGGGAGAGTTGGGGGAGGGGGACTGGAGTCTGGAAATCTCAAACGTCTGGACCAAAAGACAGAATAACTTCTTCTTTCAACTGACTCAACCCTCATGAAAAAAAAATCCCATACTAAATTGAATCCCTCTGATGCTTCATATCAAAGGCAAAGATCTTAAACTACATTGATTTTAATGGCTTTATATGAGTCTTTTTACACTGACATGCATGAAATCTCACATTTCCTCACAGATGGAAACATATGGATTAAATACAGCGTTCAGCTTGCTGTTTTATACATTTGATTGTGTCACGTCTGTTTCTTTTGTCACCTTTTTTCAGCTGTTCTCAGGTTGCTTAGCTCTCCTTGACCTTGTAAAGATAAAAACTCAACTTTACTGCAAACGTTAACACCCTTTGTGTTGGATTCCACCTGTCCAGTGTCTCCTGTCAGTTAAGCAAAAGAGATTACTTTTCCCGTTAAGCCCATTATAATCAAATGGACTTGGCTTCTTCATTATTTTCTTCTTCTTCACAACAAGACATAAAGTAATCAAAAGTTAAAAGCAAACACTCAAGGAGGCACTTAGCAAAAAAGAAAAGCTTTTATGATAAAACATTCATATACAGTACAGAGTAGGAGACAGGTGATCTTTGAGGAGCATAGGGTTGTCTTGTGGTCAATTTTGTGTGATATTGCTTGTGGGAGTCTTGAGGATGAATTTTGCTAATAACATCCCCGCCCACATATCATCCACCAGATGATCCTGACAGAACAACTAATATCTGAACGTGTTTCCTCAGTGGTGTGAAGTATGCCTCAAAAAGCTGTTGGAAGCTAAAGTGGAGACGGGTTTATTACTCTGACAAGCTGATGACAGCAGCGTCTGGTTGAGATGAGCACACACACACACACACACACACACACACACACACACACACACACACACACACACACACACACACACACACACACACACACACCTCATACTAGCATCTGATATCTTTTTAGTCAGTGAACTCATGATTTACCAGTAGCAATGCAAAATCCATTGTTTTATGGCTTATGAACTCACCATTGTTAAATACTAGTTTATTAGACATAATCGATGTGGAAATTTTTATTTTCAGAATCATAAATATTGTGTTAATTAGAAATTGAAAAAATTGTTTTGAGATGAACTAGAATGAGACGCAATCTGTCTCATCAGGTCAAAGTTGTATAAGATGGGCAAGTTAGCCGATGAGAATCAGTGCATCTCCATTCATCTCGTTTAGTTCTTTTGTGGCTCTTTGTTCCCTGCTTTGGTTTATAGTTGTGTTTGATACAGATGTGGACAGCTGTGAGCCATCAAACACGCTGCAGTTGATCAAAAGGTATCTATTAGTCAGGATTGGTATGAGAAGAACCATTGGGAGGGCTGCATCTGACAAAATATATTTTAGTTTATAACATCTGTTAGTGATTTTACAAATGCACTTTGCTATTGAACAAACAAACTTGTGTGTTTACATACTTTTTGTGAGGACAATTTTGCAACAGAGAAATGTGTCCAAATGTTTGGAGCCAAAATTGCCCAGATTACAGAACTTATTACTCAAGCACCACAGAAATAGTTCATTAAAAGTGATTTAAAGTACATGTAAATAATTTTCATGTAATTTTTGAAAAAAGTATAGTTTTTACTTACTGAATACACTAAAGCTGTTATAGCAAATCTACAGAACGAGCTAGGTTTTTAACGTAAACGGGGTCACAGGACTTTCACCCCTCCCCTCGGTTGTCTTCTCTGAGATACTTTTGCCGGAACCGGGGACCCACATTTCAAGTCAAAACGAGAAGGCACTAAATGTCAGTCACTGTTTTCTAGGTCTAAACGGGTTTTGTTGCCCGTGACTTTAAATGGTGTTTTTCATTTTGGGACTCTGGCAGTTTGCCTGGCTGGTTGCAATTAAGG